GTGCCCCCCTCCCTATCCCCTCCTCTCTGCCCCCGCCTCCGCGCCGCCCCCCGTGCCGCCCCTCCCGGTGCCCTGCACCCCAACCCTTACCTCCGGAGCTCTGCCTGCTGTCGAAGGACTTTTCGCCATTACTTAAAAGTGTAACTAGAGTTAAGGCATCCACAGGTGTAGAATAAGATCACAGAAATGCTGCTGCCTCCTCCCCGTCCCCAGACGTGACACTGGCCTGCAGCATCCCGGCGGCGTAGCTCCTCGGTGATTGACTGGCTTTATGGGCCGGCCTTATCCGCGTGGAGATGCGTCTCCTGCCCTCTGCCGTGCCCTACAAGCGGTATTCGGGGCGCTGTTGGTGAACTGACTCGCTTTCGCTGGGCTTAGTTTTCACTTTCAGTGTAACTATCCCGTTTCCTTTTCTTTTCTTTCAATTCTCTTTTCTCTCCCCTTTCTCTTTTCATCGTTATTTTTTGTTTAAATTTGACTTGACACACACATAGTTGACACACGTTACGTTAGTTTAAGGTGTCCCCCCCCTTCTCTTTTAAACAAACGCTTTACCAAAGATTTTCCAAACTCCTGTCACGTGTGTTTCAAATACCTGTACATATCAGACTCTATGTCAAGTCCGATGGGTCTGAGACCCCACCGCCCCTGACCTGATGGAAGCCGGCTACCCGGCTTTACCCGAGGCTGAACTCTGGGTCTCCTGCCCAATCCCCCCTTCTCTGCGCTGTGCCCAGATTTTCTAGCACCCACCGTCACTGCTGAGGTACAAGGACACTCTGGTTCCTGATCCTTTTATATGTTCTTCCTGTTTTTTTTCCTTCCCATTTCTAGAAAATTACAGGATTTTCCCTTTGTCCTCGGTATTCTGGTATTTCACAATGATGTTCTTTGGTGTGGGATTTTTTTCCTTTTGTGGAACTTTCGGGCGTCATTTGAATTGAAACAGTGGAACATCCAGTCAGTGGATTTTTTTTTTTTATATGCTTTCCTTTTTTCTGATCTTTTGGTCACTCCTGTTATTTGTAGGTTGGACTCTCATATCTATTCTCTAAGTTGCTTATCTTCTTGATGTATCCCTGCCCTTTAGTTCCACTTTCTGGGTGACTTCCTCAGTTTGTCTTGTAATCCTCATATTTCCTGGGTCTTGTTTTCTTGAATATATTTCTTTTCTCATGGCATACTTTTTAAATGGACACGATCTTTCTTACTTTGCTCTGAGGATATTTTACTTTTTTTTTTTTTTTTTTTTTTAAGATTTACCAGTTCTGCTCAATCTTCATGTGAGGGGATTTCCTCAATTGTTTGGCTCTGGAATGAGCAGTTTAAAGAGGACTGAGCAGTTTAGAGAGGAGGCACTAAGCGGCCAGCTGGGAGCTGAGTGCCAGGAGGGGCTGGGGCAGGTGTGCTCCCCTGTAGGGTTATTGGGCTGGGGTGTGCTATTTCCAGGAGGGAAGCCCAAATGTCGGTGTTTGGAGATACTGTCTTTAGCTCTATTAAGTGTTTCCAGAGACGAATCCTTTGGTCTGTTGCTGCAGATATCCTGGGAGCAGACAGGAGGAATGGGCAGTAATCCTTTGGCTGAGATGGCCCTTACTGACCAGCTGCAGATCTCTTATTTCACAGTCTGCTGCGCTGATCCCTCCCAGCCTGGAGACACTCAGCTTACCTAGAGAATGTGGTCCTCCAGGGTGGGGCACCAGTGGGGAAGAGGCTTGAGGAGTGTGTGAGGCAGGGGACAGAAGTGTGTTCCCTGCTGCACAGTGCCTGGGACGTGAGACAAGGACTGGGGCTGGAGGGTGGGGAGTTGGTTGAAGCTTCTTCCACTCTTCTAGGCTGTTTACTGACCCACTGCCCTTTGCAGCCTCCTGAGATTTTCTTGAAACTTCCTCTCTGTTTTGTCTACTCTCTAGGTCTTGTTCTTTATGGACTTCCACCTTTGGATTCCTTTATTTTTATATTAGTGAGGAGTCAGGAAGGCTAGGAATAGATGCCATGTTTTTAGCCATTCTAATCCTGTTCACTTCTGAGATTTCTACCTGCTCAGTTTCAGACAGGCATCCTGTCTTCAAGGTTTCTGCTTTAGGTGAGGAGGTGTCTGGATGTGTAGGGTCTTATCCAGTGGCTTGCTAGGGGATGGTGACATCACAGGACAATGGGTCAGTGTCCGATGGGCCTGGGTTGCAGCACTACTCTGCTGCTCACCAGTTGTGTGACCTTGAGGCAAGTTATTTAACCTCCTAGAGCCTCAGCTATTGTTTATTTTTAATCACTGGTAATCAGTGGCTTATGTCTACCAGGAGAGTGTCAGGGTGGCCAGCTTGGCGGGCTGGTTGGTCTCTGTCATGCATTCCCAGACCTTCGGGAGCTCAGGCCAAGCCCAGTGCATATGAGGCCTACTGTCCAAGCAGACAACAGGCAGGCAAGGAGCCTCAGAGCCAAGTTCTGCAGCTGGGGTAGGCTAAAAGGTCCATGACCTTATAGGCCAAATGTAGCACATTTTTCTTGGGCATACTTTTTACTGATGCCATTTAAAATATAATTTTAAACTAAAAAATGGACACATTATGGAATGAAATAGAAAATTAGCCCTCATTTAAGAAATAAAAGGGAAGTCTTCATTTAGATCATTACTTTGCACTAAATGCTTGAGGTGCAAAACAAAGATCAGACTCTGGGCTCCTATGAAAGAATAATTACCAGAAATGTACACTCTGCTTGTAAAAATTACATTAATCAAGAACAAATGCCTAGTGAGTGATTGCCCTGTAAGCTCTGAGCTGAGTGGTGGAGTTTCTGAGAGGAACAAGATAAATCTCCTGACATCAGAGCAACTAAACTCTAATTGGAGGTGGGAAACAATGTCAAGATTAATTTATTTTGCTGGTAAATTGGGAAAGGTCTGGGTTAGTTCAGAAAGTCTCCCTGGCTTTTAAAACAATGCTTTGTTTCTCTTTCTCTTTTTCATTCACAGTGCTGGCCACCATCAACCTGCAGTCACAACATGAGCTGCAGTTATTAACCAACTTTCTCTTAAGTGTGCAGGTAAGTCTGGCCCAGGGGCAGCTTCCGGCTCTGCTTGGTGTGAGTGTCGAAAGTCCTAGAGTCAAGTGGAGCCTCTGTCAGGGAGTGTGAACTGCTGTGAGGTACGTGCAGCTCTGCCCAGGGCTCCAGGATGGGAAGAGGACGACTCTGGGCTCGCTCAGCCTTTCACCTCCCAGCCATACTTCTGCTGTTCACAGAGGCTCTGGACTAGAATTCTGTGGACTCCATTAGCCCCAGATATGCCCATCTTGGGATTGAGAGGAGTAATGCTTTCCTGACCTGTACTGTGTGTCTGACTTTAACCCGTAAGGTCCCTCTGGGCCTAGAAAGATTATTGTCATCAGCAAGATGGGAAGCCTGGGCCATCCCTGGTCAGAGGAGAGAGGAGAGGAGTTTCCGAGTATAAGTTCACATCCTTCAGGTTGATGGGAATTTACAGTTAAATCCTATTCTGATTGATTCTTTTCTCTTGAGTTCACATGCCTCTCCTAAGGAGGCAGATGGGATCTGGCCACGGTAGTGGCAGCCCATTCACAGAGCTGGGGCCCCATCCCTCACCGTGTCCTGCTGAAGGGTGTGAATGCCCCAGACTGTCACCACCTATTAGGTGTAGGCATTGATTTCCCGGGCCTAGTGGGGAGCCGCTGGAACATTAGTATCCCCCATGAGTACATGCCTTCAGAGATGTGGGGGCTGTTCTCCATTCCACCTGTTCATTTCTGAGAGCAGAAGTAGGTCCAAAGGCACATCCATATGAAGTCACCAGGGGCGTGTGAAGCTGTGGAGGATGAGGGCTACCTGTGTGTATGATGTGGCTACTATCTGAGTTTAGAGGGACAGGCGGAATGCTCAGGGAAGGTGACCAGGAAGAAATGGGGCAGGATGGGACCTGACACCAGGCAGACTTTGTTAGGCCGAGAAGGGGAGAGACAGTGGGTCCCGGTGGGCCCAGGTCCAGCCCCTTTCTCCCTTCCTTCCTTCCAGTGTTGACTGAGTGCCTGCTCTGTGTGTGGAATGTGGCTAGGCCCTGTTACCCTGTGGTGACTAAGATGGCAGGTCTTTGCCTTATGGGTTTGTGACCAACCTGGGGAATAAACAAAAATAAACAATAGCCCAGCAACTAAAGAGGATTGTACCTGAGTGCTGTCTAAGGCAGGTATAGGATATCGTGAGCTGTATCTCTGCCCACTCGGTAGTGTGACCCCTCTGCTTCTCTTTCCTCTCCTGTGAAGTGGGGATAATGATAGTACCTGCTCAGGGGGTTGTTTGAGGATCAAATGAAGTAATATTTGGAAAGCACCCAGGAAAGCAAGGCTTCATGTTGGCTCCTTTATGGTCATCCTTAGATAGGGGCCCCACAGCTGTGCACCCAGGCCGGGTCATCCTGCTGACAGACTGGCACCGTTAACGGCCTTTCTGTCCGCAGTTCCGTTCAGTGATGTTTTCCTCAAGGAAGGGGACTTAGATCAGAGTCAGCTTTGAATGCTCAAACAGGACAGGCCCAGCTCTGCTCAACTTTGGGCTGTCCAACAGCACCCTGCTGGGCCCTCATGTGCATGTCCAGTGATGAAGATAATTAATGTGGGTGTTTCTTGAGCACTTCCCAAGTGCTAGGCACCGTGTGCGAAAGGCATTATGTGCATTATCTCATTTAATTCTCCCAGTAACCAGGTCAGCTGGCTACCATGGTTACTGTTGTACAGTCAAGGAGACCGATTGGAGAACAAATAGAGCACCCAGTAAGTGGCGGGTGAGGGGGGGTACGGCACCGTCTGACTGAGGCAGAGCTCCAGCTCTTACCCACATCGTGCGGCGCAGTGACCTGGGCCACCGGTGGGCATCCCTGTACCTTGGCCCTGGCGCCCTTAAGTCAGGGAGCCCCCTCCTAGCCCTGGAGACTATTGACATGTAGCACACAGAATCTACTTCACCCTTAGTGACTTAAACATGGCACCGTGTATCCCCTTCTTGGGAGGTGGACAGGTGTAAAAAAAAACCAAAAACCAAGCCACAAGTCTTGCTAAAAAAATTATTGTGACTACTTTGGCTTTTCCTCTGGCGTGGTTGGTATCTTCTATTCAACAGATAATAAATCTGTCCCATCACTGTGGACTAGATTTGGTTGCTCTGTATGTGTTGCCCTCTAAATGTAAGGCCACCGCTAACAGAGAAAGTACTTGATGAATGAGGACGGCTCTCTGGTGTGGAACCTGAAACACCAGCGTGTTAGTCCTTCTATCTCTCCTCGATGCTCTGGTGCTTCTGCAAACACAGCACAGTAGAACGTGGTTCTGGGAATGGTTTCTGCATCCCTGGGGCAATCCCACACCAAAGTCAGCATTCTGAAGTAATATTAAAGACTTAATTGTTAGCGAACGTCCTAGCCAAGGTATGAAGCCAGATACTGCGGCTGCAGGGCCTGCACTGGAATAGCTGTGCTAAATAACTCCCTGATTTTCTCGTCCAGTTTTGTAAACTAATGTTTAAACTAGACATCAAAGAGGGGCCTACTCTACAGCCCTCTGACTCTTGCAGCTAAAGGGAAACAGCAACTGAGGGGTCTGCATCCATGGGGTGCCCATCAGAAATGGAATTATCCTGATAGAACATTCTCCTTCCCTGGGAGGGGATAGGCAAAGCTTGGCTTGACCCAGAAAGCAAACCCACGTAGGAAAAGACTCCCAGAGAACATGCTGCCTTCTGATGCAGACTGACTTTGAACACATCCCTGTGTTTTCTTGCTAGCTCTGTATGCAACATTAAAGCCACGTTAAGGCATCAGGGTCTCCTGCATCAGCTTTGGTGGTTCATTCCACTTTCTACCTGCAGGGGGAGGCACATGTGGAGGATAAGCTGGTGCAGGTGCATTTGGTCCTCACCTGCGCTCTGCTTTTGATGGCCCTTACAGCAAGGAGTATGTGGCCAGGGAGGAGTTGGGAGGGTAGAAGGGCTGGGATTTCCCTGAAAGAAGAACTCCTCTCTGCCTCTTTTGGCCAGCTAACTTCTCATTTTGTGGTGCCCAGAGGGTTCAGCCCAAGATGGTGATGGAGTATTGGACAGGGTGGTTTGACTCGTGGGGAGGCCCACACAACATCCTGGATTCTTCTGGTAAGTGCTTTGCAGTACCTACACCCAGCATGTGTATTGACCTATGAAGTAAAAATCAGTTCCAAATAACGTGCTAATTGATGTAAATGAGCTGTAGGGTGCAAGGCTCCTGGGATTATCTGCATGTCATAGTCAGCTCTTGATATTCCAGACTCAATGTGTCTTGACATTTGAAGTGAATGGTAGGACTCTTAACACTGCTTTATTATGTTTTGATAATTATATAGGCAATGCACACCTATTGCAAACATCCAGCAAATACAGAAAATGTAGGAAGAAGAAATAAAAACACCAGAGCCCGGAGAAAACACATACAGTTGACTTTTGAACAGTGCAGCAGTTAGGGGTGCTGACCCCCCTGCACGCTTGAAGTCTGGGTATAACTTTTGACTCCCCCCAAACTTAATGATTAATAGTCTACTATTGACCAGAAACCTACTGATAACATGCAACTGGTTAACACATATTCTGTATATTGTCTGTCATATACTGTATTATTACGATAAAACCAGCTAGAGAAGAGACAATGTTATGAAGAAAACTGTAAGGAGGAGAAAATACTTTACAGCACTGCACTGTAAGAAATCATGCATAAATGGAGCCGTGCAGCTCAAACCCATGTCATTCGAGGGTCAGCTGTATATTGTGCAGGCAGTTCTGTGTCTGTCTGCAGCCCTGCATGCACACAGAGATATGGATGCTCGTAGTCATGGCTGCTCTTTGTTACCTGCCTGTGCCCTGATTGACACAAATGAACAGCCTTCTATACTATTAGAGATTCCATCACTGTTTTAAAGAGTGCAAAGAACCCTGTTGTATTGGTGATTAAACCACAATTTATTTAGCCACTCTCTTACTGATGAACAATTGGATGTTTCCAGTGGTTTTTGTTAATTGAACACCATTGCAGTGAACATTCTTGAACATCCAGTTTTGCAAATCTGGCATATTATTTTCCTAGGATAAGTTCCTAGCAATAGAATTGCTACATTAATTCAATTTCGATATATATGTACTAAACTGCTCTCTGGGAAGATTATAACAATTCTTCTTATTATTAAATGAGAATACCTACTTTCCATAGATTCATCAACACTGAGTATTAAAATAATTTTTAATATTTGTCAATCTGATTGCCAATATATATGTATGTGTGTATATGTATTAATACTTTATATTTCTCTTTTGATGTTATCTTTTCACGTCTTTGGCTAATTCTTTAATAGAGGTGGGACTGGGGAGGTGGTCAGAAATTACATCTCCAATTAGGAGTCCAGTGACTCTTTGCATCTTACCAAGTGTGAGCAAGTGTTGAGAACAGTGGAGGTAGAAGGCTGCCATTGTTCAGATCATAGTCATTGGAGACTTGGCCATGATGGAACCAACAGCTGGAAGACTGCAGCTCAGGGGCTGTGGTGCTGGCCCTTTTCTCTTCATACACCTCATCTTCTGTGATTGCGGTTCTAGTGGAAGCTGAAGGGCAGAGCTATGGAGTTGAATTTGATGGGATTGGGGGGGGTCAGGAAAGCTGAGAGGCCAACACGTTTGTGACTTGTCCCAAACTCTGACTCGCTCTGCACATCCCCTTTCTCCCCTCTTCCTGCAGAAGTTCTAAAAACAGTGTCTGCCATCCTCGATGCTGGCTCCTCCATCAACCTCTACATGTTCCATGGAGGTACCAACTTTGGCTTCATAAATGGAGCCATGCATTTTCATGAATATAAATCTGATGTCACCAGCTACGGCAAGTATTCCCCAACACCGACCCTCCCTGGAACATCCCACATTAGCATGTCTGCGGCTTTTTATGCAGAGTCCTTTAGGGGCAGTGTTTGGCACCTTCAATGCATTTGGTTCTAGAGTGCCTGGGGAAGGGATGGTTTTGCCCGGATTATTACTTTTAAACTTTTAGAGCAGTAGGAGACTGAAGCCCACTCACATGCCTGTGAGTCTTTGGAAGTCTTTGGAGGAAGTGAGAGGTACAGCCAGGATGAGGGAAGGTCCTTTGATGAGGGCAGCCTCTTCTCCCTACTCAGGTCCTTGAGATGTGTGACTCCTGAACCCTTTAGGTTGAGAGTCCCCTGAAGGTAGGCAAGATGCAGGAAATTGAGGGTCATGCCATGGCCATGGCACTTTTGGTGGAACTTTATAGTATTTAGTATTTATTGTATTCTGATTGATGGCTCATACCAGAAGTGTTCTGCCTCCCAGATTGCTGGGATGAGGACCTTGTTGCCATACCCCAGCTTCTCCCTTCTCTTTTTGCTGCTGTGGACACTGTCCTGTGACACAGGTGACCAATGACAGCATCCTGGTGTCTTGCAGACTATGATGCTGTGCTGACAGAGGCTGGGGATTACACAGCCAAGTACTTCAAGCTCCGAGGTTTCTTTGGCTCTATCTCAGGTACCTGACAGACAGCCGACTCAAGCACCAACTTGGGCCCTTGCTTTTGCTCTGAGACCCCTGAAGAATTACTTCTTCACTACCCCATCTCAACCCCAGTTGACCTATGTACAAGAATGTCCCTAGACAAGGACAGGCAAGTTTGGGAGACTGTTTTCATCATGGTTTGTGTGTCATCAGCTTTGCCTTTCTATGGGCATTAAGACTCCTGAAGATACGAGAAAGTAAAGTCCCCTGCACCCCCCTGCCCCCATGTTGCCTTCCTAGCAGGGCCAGGCAGTCTAAGAATGTTTCCCTCTTGGCTCTAGGATAAAGGAGCACATTGGGCCGTGGACAGGAGCCAGGGGCTGGGGAGGCTGGAGGTGGCAGTGACTTTTTGGGTCCTCTTGGGTTGGCCCTGTTGTCTGTGTTGCAGGTGTCCCTCTTCCTCCCCAACCTGACCTCCTTCCCAAGACTGCATATGAGCCCTTGAGACCGAATTTATACCTGTCACTGTGGGACGCCCTGCAGTACATGGAGGAGGTGAGTGCCTTGGGGCAGGGAAGCTGGAGCAGTAGCTAGGTGGGCCAATGGGGCGTGGAGGGAGAAAAACCAACGCTTGATAGCTTTGAGGTCCATTCCCTGACTTTAGAGCTCAGAGGAAAGAGCATAAACTTGTGCTAAAGTATGAACTGGGAAGGAACAAAAAGAATTTGAGGAAAAACTGGTTAACACAGTAGGTAGTCTCTCTCTCCAGCCTTGGTGGACAGGGAGGAAGGTGAAGAGGCACGTGAATGGGATGTATCCCCCCTCTGAGAAGAGGGTGCACCCCTGGAGCTGACCTAGTGGGGTGCCGTGATGCAGAAATGGTGGTGGATTGAAAGTGTACAGGTCTGGTACATCTCTGGGCTTCATTCCATTGTTATCACACATCTGCCCTCCCTGTGACCCTGGACAGCATAGGGCTAATAAGATGAGAAGTCAAAATCAGAATTTTGGAGCTTGAAGAGCCAATTGGCCGGATTGGCTCCCTATGTTTGTATAGTGAGAAGTCAAACTAGAAGAAAAGGTTAGAGGGCCTCGCCTCTTCCCCCAAATCCCCAGTCCCAGGTGGGGATCTGTCTGCTACCTTGCACTCCCCCAGAAGGCTCAAGATGAGGTTGCTGCCTCTTTTCTCCTCTTCCTAGCCTATATCTCCCCCTACTCCTCTATACAGCCAGTCAATTCTGAAAAACCAGTCAATATGGAGAACCTGCCAATAAACAGTGGAAATGGACAGTCCTTTGGGTACACTCTGTACGAGACCACCATTGCTTCATCGGGCATCCTCAGTGGTCTTGTGCGTGACCGGGGACAGGTAGGGGCGATTTCTCTTTTTTACAAAAATTCTTTATTTAAATTCAAATTAATTAACATATACTATATTATTAGTTTCAGAGGTAGAATTTAGTGATTCATTAGTTGCATATAA